CACACACACACACACACACACACACACACACACACACACACACACACACACACACACACACACACACACACACACACACACACACACACACACACACACACACACACATATATATATATATATATAGGAGAGTTAATCTGGGAAATTCTTAGCGACGTTCTAATTTACTTTATGCAGGATCCCATCACAGATATAGTTGTGGTCGAAGCTGATGAACCGATACCGGACAATTTCGAGGTTGCAGGTACGTATGCTTGTTTAATGAAGTATCCACTCTCGCACTCCCTGGCCACAGCATCCCAATAAAGAGTTGCCAAGTAACATATTTTCACGTGAGCTGGTTCAAAGAGCGTTCTTCATTTACCTTCGAACTGTATGGAGCCCTTAGTTTCCTCTGTCTGATCACGCAGGTGTCGTCTCGAACAAACCGCACATCAGAATGGCAGCAAGCAGCACCTTGGCCGATTCCGACATGGAGACTATGGAATCAGCAAACGATTACTTCGTGTGTGTTTCACGCGATGTTGTGGATATGTCACCCATCACGCAATTGGTAAGCCAAAACGACCCAAACCTATCGTAAACAATCTCCCGACTCAGCCCCTGCGGGCCTTACTAGCGCGAGCGTGTGGCAGATCACGTGTTCACACTCCACTGAGACTGTACTATTATAGATCTCGAGGATTTTGAGTACCGGATTCGTTCAGAATAGTGCTGAAGTGTAGAAGTTACAGCCCACTTTCGTTTGTATGGGTCTGACAGCTCCCTCACCTTCTCCCTTCACCGACTGCTCGGCATTGGACAGTACTCGCCCAAAAACATATACATTGGTCTGTGCGGATGTCTGTCTTATCTTAATGCCTTGGGGACTTTGAGAAGATGTAGTCTTATGTACGTACTGAATACTTTCTACCCAGGTCTACACTACTGTTCAGGATGGGCATAGAGCGCCTGAAATGTACGGCTTCGAGGTAGTGTCTTCACCTGTCATCAATCTCACCCCCATAGGCGACAAGGACACTATCTGGTGTCTGTATATGAAGCGTGAAAGCACGCGCATGCCTATAATCGATGTACTTGTGGAACCGGAGGAGGGAATCACGCTCAGCGGTACAACCAAAGTAGAGAACGCCACATTTAGCACGGTATGCATACGTGCATACATGCACGCGTGTATGTGGACATGTGTACGATACCTGGAAGTGACCTGACTTGGTACAGGTGCTTGGTGTGAGCCATAGTGTGTGCTATGCCACAGATTGTGTATACGCATGTGTGGATACACAGCAGCGTGTTGTTGGCTTCTTGCTGTTTGGTTTAGAGGGCACCTGCCATCGGAAAATTATCGAGAAAAGGGTGCATGGCGCATATATATATGTATACACTCGAGTTCAGGGAGGTGGTGTCAAGTGATTGTGTGTATGTGGTGAAGAGTATATGTATGCTCACGAGTGGTGCGTTAGTATGTAGTATGCTGAATTATGTACGTTGCAAATTACTCAAAACATTCTACGCTTCCAATCACTTCATCTTGAGAGGCAGATACCTCGGTATACTTGCTGTGCTCCTCTGCAGTACAGTTGTCCAATCATTCTACGCCAAGACACATCAAACGTTAATGCACTGCCGTCGAACGCGTTGTTCTCAGTACTCTGCATACCTACGCCTGCAGATAAACTTAGCCATTTACGTTCAATACATGGAGGAATTCCCCCGAATAGGCGTGACGTATGTGCCTCGCATCCTCACTCGGTTTCCGGCCTGCGATACTAAAGGTACTGGTGTATGCAATGACGGTGTACTGTTGCTATAGTGATAGATTTTGCTTTAGCACATGGTGCAGATTGTGTGTCTGCTTGTTGGATCTCTACACTGTACAATGAGTGGAGTCATAGCAGATCCACAATAATGGTCCCGTGTTTCAAATTAACTGCCAAATGTATTGTAGTGATCGACGAATGTATTTATAAAATAATCCGTATATCGAGAAATATACATTATATTCAAATACATACATATATAAACATACAAATACAAATATTTGCAACCATACACTTAAATAAATACCTACCTGTGAATACATATATGGAGGCCCAGAAGTGGCGCACCGGGGTTGCTGGCCTCCAGGCCTGCACAGCTCCAATCGCTCATGCATAGTCTATGTTTCTAAACCACATCAGAAACATCCGTACCACCGGCGGTGACTGGGTTCTGCTTCCCAAACGGTGTGGAATACCGCCGAGAGTATGCCAATCCGTTGTTCTTCACGTTTGTGCTCACGGATGAGAAGGGAGTGATGCAGTACGGCTCGTGCTACACGGTCTACGAACGCAAATCATTTGTCAAACAGAGGAACGCCCGGGTGTTCCACGAACCAAAGTAAGTTTACAGTGATTCGGATCAGGGGGCTAGATGCAGGCTTTATCGGTATGCGCGCGTGGTAGGTATATTGGGGCACGAGGTGCTTATATGAAATAAGAATAGTCTTGCATGCATTATGCAAACAGCATCTGAAGTTATGACAAACCCTTCAGATATCTCTCCTCCCGCGCTACCGCAGATGTATATGCATCCTGTCAAGGTGGCCGTTCTTCTGCTCCTACCGTCGGTACATCCAGGCCCTATTCACGCTATTGAAGCAGCCATGCGCCTTCCCCATAGAGAGTTATATAGTGAACCTCTTCGAGGCCAGCGTACCACCACAGGGAGATGTGATAACAAACTTGCGCGTGGGAGATAGTGTCATAGAGTTCGCTCGTCCCGCTGCGACCGACTTCCCGCTGGCCAACTATTCACTGCTGCCGCTGTTTCACGCTTTGGACCTACCCAACATAGCTACGGTGCTGTGCCTGATCCTTACGGAAGCCAAACTGCTGATACAATCGCAGCACATATCACTGCTCACGCCCATCTGCGAATCGCTCACGTCGCTGATCTTTCCGCTGAGGTGTGTACGTACTGTTTAACGAGTGGTGTTTGTCGTGAAAGTCCCAGTTCGTTGTACCACAGCGTGGTTGTGCGTCATTGAGAGATACAAGCCGTTGATTGGATGACACTTGCGTAAACCAATCGACACATTGTGGTGTATTGACCGCAGCTGGCTGCCCATCCGTTTAGCCTACACACATTGACACAACTCTCACAATTCTCAGGCTTGTGCCAGGCTAGTCTGACCTCAGGGATACAGTGTCCACAAACAGACATCAGTCATGGTATGCGTATATGGCAGCACTCGATCTCACGCGTACGCTTGACCCCTCTCATAAACCCCAACCCGCGTGCGAACTCAGGTGGCAACACATCTACGTACCACTGTGCCCGCCCTCTTTTCTGGACTTTCTTCAAGCCCCGGTCCCGTTCATCATCGGGGTGCAGGCGGGTGTGGTGGACTTCTCGGTACTGCCCACCGATGTGTACCTGGTAGACATAGACAATAACCGTATACAGAAGAAGAAAGACGACTACGACGACGACATGGGCGAGATGCCGTCCCTGCCAGCACAGTCGCACTTCCTGGACAGGCTGTATAGTGTTGCCTCACATCTGTTCATCAAAGGCTACACGAGTATGGAGCATGTAGAGAATCATCCCTATACACAGGTACGGCTAGGGGTTCTCCGACCACCTTGGGTTTGATATTATTGTTTTGTGTGCTATTACAAAGAGGTGTCCTGCTCCTACATTGTTTTGTTTGCATATTACACTCTGATATGTCGATGACCCAGTTTCACTATTGCTTAAAACGGCCACACAGCCTGGATCGGTGACTACTGCGCACAAAACAGCCGAACAAGTCAGGCAGGAGGCAATCCGCGAGAGCTTCTTGGACTTCTTTGTGTCCATACTCAAGCCCTATCGAGAGTATCTCACGGTGCCCACGGCAGACACCATCCACGAATACGCGAAGATCTTCTCCTACAGTCCCGAAGAAGTGTTTAATAAGGTAAGGTCCACTCGTACATGCGCCTTGTGTCAATAAGGTCAATGATGTCAGAGTTGACAGGTGTGACAGGTAGGTACCGCCATGTCTCGTCGTTCGGTGTGATGGTGGAAGTCACTCGAGCTTCGCATGGGGCTTGGGTACCATCAGCACTGTGTAATACACACTCCCGCTACTCCGCTCTCTTATCTCTGTTTCCTTAGGGTTTTAGACTCACGCTACTCCACACTTTTATCTCTGTTTCCTTAGGGGTTTAGACTCACGCTACTCCACACTCTTATCTCTGTTTCCTTAGGGGTTTAGACTCACGCTGCTCTGCTCTCTTTTCTCTGTTTCCTTAGGAGGCTTTCCTGATGTCGGTGCGTGACCAAGATCGGAAGTTTATGGACGTACTGGTTGACAGCCAGGCCTTTACCCATTTCGTAGAGCAGCGATCGTTCATCTCGAATCGGGATGAAGAGCTTCTTTTCTTTGATATGTGCATTGATGAGGTGGGTGTTATTATCAGCTGACTCGCGTTGTGTGATGGGCTTCCTATTTGTCAGGAATGTATCTGTCTCCGCAACAGTGACCGGGGGGGGGGGGGGGATGTGCGTACTGAAGTAGATGCCTGTGACGCATCTCCACTATATTTGGGTAGTTTAATCAGCGGTATTGTCATTGGTGAGGATATAATAAGTTGCAATGGTTTTTGCATACGGAGGTAAATGTTTTGTGATGCTACACTGCTATATTGCGATGATGTTGTATTCATCGGCATATCACTGGTGAAGGTTTAATGTATTATACAATTACTACACGATTCCGCTGGCGCGTAGAAACAATCTAACCCTGCATGTAGTAGTACGGCCACTTCCCTCAGGCTCCGCGTATCTGTTTTGCCCGTCCTTACCCATGCCTAATCGACGTTTCACCCGTGTGTCTTTCTTGCTTCCGAACCCGCGTAGGCAAACTACATCGAAGAGAAACAAAGACTGGAGTCCGAGGCTAAGGCCCAACAGAAAAGCCATGGCCGCATGACCAGTGTAGGGTCTGCTCGCAACCTTCTCAGCAACTTCAGCCAGACCGACTTGTTCGCAGGCCGATCAGCCGTGGTATGTGTATTCTGCGAGGTGTGCGCTATTGTGTACTATTGTTATCTCAAATGTTTCGGTTTGTTTACGCATGCGTCTTGTGCATTAGAGGGGATTACGAATCTCACATATGACGAGCTTGCTTAGTTGACGGATACGTACACTTTTATGTACCCCCATCGCAGGATATCCGATCCTGGGGCAACAGCTCTACTAGTGGTATCAATGATAACCCGCGCAAGCTTGGTAATGCGTCGAGTGTAAATGCGCTCGATGGAAACATGCGAGGGAGTATCTTCTCGCCCAACAATAGATCCTCAATTCATATGGGCTCCCGCAATTCAAAACGGGACGGAGACAATTTCTCCCGTACGAACCTGACCCTGAACTCGCGCCCCAGTTCTAGGGAGCGGATCACGGGTCATATGAGTCTTAATAATAATAATAGTAATAGTAGTAATCTTAAAGGGTCTGTATACGGTCTGGCTACGTCGCCTGTAGCGGCTGTGCGCGTGCAGCCGTCGTATGCCAGACCGCATGTGGCCCAAGAGCCCCAGCTACCCCCGAAGAAGGCTCTCAAGCGCTGCATGCCAATTGTATTGGGCGCGGCCGAGAGCAACGGGACAGCCGACCAACACCAACACAAACACGGCTACGACAACGACGAAGAGGAGAGTGTGCAAGACGCGATGGAGGTGCACAAGAAGAGCGTACCGCCGTACAACTACCGTGGCGTGTTCCCGCCCTTGCAAACGGACCTGTTCCCACGTCTGAGACAGGCGACCCGTTTCAATGCGGATGCATTACACGCGTTCGACCGACAGTCAGCCCTCAACCTGTCCATGTCCAGACACCACAGGGCACAACCGGCCCCCGCATGCCAGGTGCAACTGCCTACCTACACGCACACCCGGAATCTGGCCGGTGGGACCGGGCCGAAAAGTCCCGAAACCTCGTTTGCCGGACCCGAGAAAACACACAACCGCCACTTCAGCGCGGATGTCAGCAACAGCCCGCAACAGTTCCAGTTCAAAGTACAGAGTGACGATGAGCTGTCCAAAATGCGCACCCAGAGCACCAGGTCGCCGCACCGCCCCGGATCGAGCAACCTGTCGCCGGCCGGTTACAAGCACAATGCCTCAGATATGGGCATATCCGCGAACATCCACTACAGCGACCACACCAACACCTCGCAGCCCAACCTATCCATCCCCGCCATCGCCACCACCTCAGCCGACTACGACACGGCCCTTGCACCCGACACGGTGCGTATGAAGGCCAACACCTTCTTCATCAGTCTGCACGAGACGTGGCTGTACCTGTTCTCAGTGCGGCTCTCATCGATGAACCCGGCAGAGGTGCCTGCGGCGTTTCACCTGGCCGAGAGTATCCTCAACCGTATGCGCACCGCCAACATCCGACCCAGCGAGGGGTGTTACAGGTTACTGCTGGTGTCCTGTGCGAGGATTGGCGGCTATGCCGCACAGGCACGGTACGTGTTTCAGATGATGAGTAGGGATGGTATAGTTGCAAACGCCATCACGACCGGCTTATTTGTGCGGGCGAACTTACAGGCACCCGGAGCTGGCTTGACACTTGAGCGACAAAGCAGTAACGCGAGCGCCATCAGCTCGGTTTCCAGGTACCCTTCTTTACAGAGGCAAAGGTCGGGCGAAACGGTGGCCGGTGCGAAAGTCGGCAGTGGTGGTGGTAGTAGCAGTATCACCCATGCGGATGCGGCGAGGATAGACTTCTCCGACAAGAAGCTGAGCGACCCACCGCAGCAGTACGGGGCCGGGTGCCTGAGCAATTGGTCCAGTCTGAAGGAGTTACAGGTCGCAGCCATGGAGTTCCTGCCCATGCACCTGGCCAGCATGCGGGTGCTGGCACGGGCGAGGGTGGAGTCGAACAACACGTGCCCCCACTGCCACGCACTGCTCACGGACGAGGAGATTTCGCTGGGGTGGGAGATCACCTCGTACGACAGTACCAGTGTGTGTGTGTACTGCCATTCACCGTTCATACCCGAGTTGAGTTTCTCGTACACGGGGGGCAAAGGGGCTGCCGAACCCACTGGGGACAATGGGCCGAGTACTGATGGAGAAAGGCCCGGTACAGATGCACCTGCACCTGCACCTGCACCTGAATCCCAGGGTGCGGATGACACGGGCCATGCCTCCGGTGCAGATATAAGCGCGGTTTCTGACGATTCACAGTGGCATAGCACTGGGCAGACGACTGCGCCCGCGCACGACGCCACAACCGATAGCAAACCAGCCGTTGTTTCCGACGAGACGTACTCAGGCAGCACAGGCGACGTGTATACCTTAGCGGATGAGTTGGAAGCAGAAACCAACCCCACAGGCGCGACAGGGAGACCGAGTTTACATAGTGGTACATGCCCCTATCTCTCTCCGACTGTGCTGTTCCATGAGCTGGATATCGCCTTTTACCGAGTGGGGTTCGAGGCGACGACAGACCCACAGCTAGACGTCAATCTGCACCGCGACCATCCTACCTTATTCTGGAACATTGTGTGGTACTTCACTCAGCTGCGGCTGCCAATTCTCTCGGCCCAGGACGCACCCACACCGCCAGGCATGGTACCCAGCAACGAAGACATGCAGATCTTCCGTGGCTTTGACGAGCCCGCGATACGCTACGACGATAAGGATGCCTCCCTGCACGTGCATGTGCGGGTGAACGGGCTTGGTGGTCGTTTGGCAGGTGTGCCTTTCTGTCGCACCAACGTCCTGTATGGGCTGCCGGAGCCAGCGCGAGTGCGTACGAACAAGCACGGTATACGAGTACTGCGAGATATACACCGGGTGGGTCGACTGGTACGCAGGAAACGGCTGCAAGCGGCTATCGAGCACTTTCTAATTAAACGCCAGGAATACGTCGCGGGTGGAGCTCCGGCATATACGCCATCCCCACCATACCACACCAGGTGCAGTGCCGATAAGGACTCATGCGAGGACATTGATCTGAGCGCTTGGTTTGCCTGCCCCTTGTACTATGCGCTGCTGACATGTGCCACGTACACGGCCCACCCGGACGAAGAGAAGTTTTATGATCAGGTATGGGGCCGAGCGGTAGCTGTGGGGGGTTTTTATTAGGTTTAGCGGTAGCTGTGGGGGGGGTTTATTAGGTTTAGCGGTAGCTGTGGGGGTATTTATTAGGTTTAGCGGTAGCTGTTGGGTTTCTATTAGGTTTAGCGGTAGCTGTGGGGGTTTTTTATTAGGTTTAGTGGTAGCTGTGGGGTTTTTTATTAGGTTTACCGGTAGCTGTGGGGGTTTTTTATTAGGTTTAGCGGTAGCTGTGGGGGTTTTTATTAGGTTTAGCGGTAGCTGTGGGTGTTTTTTATTAGGTTTAGCAGTAGCTGTTTGGGTTTTATATTAGGTTTGCTGTGTGAGGGTTATCCTGTATGTTTAAGCGACTTGGTTATGGGTGCAATGTTGCTCTAGGTTAGCATCACAAAAGCATGTACCGTGCTTTTTGGTCGTCGATCAGCGGAAGAAGTTTCTCGCACGGAGTCAGTTGGCAGAATATGTTTATATTTATATTTATATTTATATTTATATTTGTATATATATATATATATGTATATGTATATGTATATATATGTGTGTGTAGGCATATATATATATATATATATATATACATATATTGGTCCTCGATCAGCTGAAGAAATTTCTCGCACGGAGTCAGTTGGCTAAAGTCATTTAGCATACGAAGCTGGTATGGTGGCCTCGCATTCGTGCGATCGCTGCGATTATCTATTACTGACAGATCGCTGTTTCATATCATGAGATCAGACGACAACTCACAAGTCACTGTGGTAGACCTACAAATTATTTGATACTGACACATCACGTTTATGTGTAGACAAACAGGGGGAAACTCACAAATCACTTTTATGTGTATGCAAAATAGTTGAATGCTCACGAATCACTCGCTATATCTCTAGTTCCAAGCGGCACTGAAAGCACTGCCCAATCAGCTGGCTTCGTCGTTGCGTCGGCCTGTATCTGGCGAAAAGTTTACTTCTTTGTCCGGTGAGATGTACCTGGTCGACACAGCTCCATCAGAAAACACGCTTATCATGCGAAGTATACTGGGGATGCACCGACCTCGCTGGAGTGTCGAGAGCACGCATGTCATCAAACAATGCACGTGGTTTGATTACGGAGTTCTGTAGGCGATTAACAGAATAAAAATAGCTATGTCATGGATTGCATTGGGGTTTGATTTAATTGTGTGCCTGTGGTCTACAGATACAAGCTGTCAGCAGAGCCACTTGCACGGCGGAGGAAGCTTATAACGACATTAGAACGGCAGGTGCCTGGGGTTCTTGTAGACTGTAGTCGCTTTTGTTGGGATTGTCTGTCAGTGGTTATTAGCAATCAGAGCTGCAATAAAAGTACCTATGCAGTATGTCATGAATTGCTTTGGGTTTAAATTTGGCTGTATCTGCGGTCTTGCAGTCTGTAGATACGAGCGTTCAGCAGAGCCACTTGCATGGCGGAGAAAGCGAACAATGCCATTGGAACGCACGGTAGCAGATTTACAAATCGTTGAATGTAGTCGCTCCCTTGTTGGGAGTTTCAATATATTTATCTGTCAACGGCTATCACTTCATCCGAGCCGGTGTTGGGTTCCAAACCCTGGGCCTGAACCTCCTATAAAATTTCACCAAAATATATAATCCAAAACGCACATATATACTGCATGTATCCAATTCATCATCAAGGATCATCGATTCATTATGCCTGTGCCGGTGTTCTCCCTACTTGATGCCTACAGAGGTCGGCGGAGTCTGAACCTTACCCGATCGGATTCAGTCGAACCGATCCTTAGCCATGCAGGTGTAAACTACATGAAACGCAATATGCTGGCTGCCCTGGGTATTAGTTATGAGATCATTCCAAGTGTAGAGGACGACAAGACATACATCACCGAGAAACAGTTCACTACTTTTGTGAACAAGGAGTTGAAGATAGAATGCGGGGTATGTATGTTATTGTAGCTTGTAGATAGTCAGGCAAGAGGGCCCCTTTTTTTTTCTTGATCACCTTTCGAGAAATTCAGTTTGAATTTCGCATTCGAGTCCATTTCGGTAGACACTAATATATAACAATATATTCCTTTAATAAAGATGGACGGCAAGTTCAAAGAGTATACGCACTACCATCACGACGGTAAGTATCGTTCTGAGCCGGAATGTTTTTATTCTCCGAATATAGATCCCTTATTGATTCACAATTTGTGCTTGCAAAGAACTATAATAGGTATAATCTTAGGTATCTTCGTTCCCTGACCTTTCTCTCTCTTCTATATACAAATACAGCTTATGGTGTCGATTGTAAGAAGGCTTATAGATTCGACGCATCGAATAAGCACCTCTACGCCCATGTTGAATCTACCGGAAGCTACCTAGGATACACATGGAAAGAAGATAGATACGTCGAGGCTGATGGCACTTTGCACTGGGTCACCGAATTGGACTATGACGGTAAAAAGACTGTCAACCACCGTGTATTCGACTTGGGACAAGCCCTCGACTGAAGATGCAGCAGCTAAGGCTACCTAGTTAAATAGACAGCGCCGGTTGATTCATTCCCAACGACACGGAGACCGGGGCGTGGGCGAATACCTATTACCTGCACCACATTTTTATCAGTTGATCAAAATCACCATGACGATATTTTCTAATAAAGAGCGCTGAAAATCAGTACACATTTTTAGCTTTTTTGTGTACAGATAGCTGATATAATAAAAGAGAGTACATTTAGCCGCATGCAAAACTAGTACTGTGAGTGTCTAGAGTGAAGAATGGTTGCAAGTTCGCGATAGTTAGCATACAATGTATTCAGCCGCGCAGTTATATATAGGTAGATTGCCAAGATATAGTACTCTGATGAGACATAAAAGGACGTTTTGAGTCATGTTGAGAAAATATAAAGTAAATCGTGCGAACTGCAATAATGTGCAGGGGTTCGTTCGCACTGCGGCATGGGCTATATCTCTGACTTATCTCCTGAACGTCGCGCGTATTGTTGTCCAATGGATGTCTAGTAGTACGTTAGAACCAAATGCTGAATTCAATATAAGGGACTCAATGCTATCGGAAGTAGATGAACAAACGCGGAAAGCAAACAAACTGGCTGAAATCCGCAATGTGCGGCAGATTCTGAACTCGCCAGAAAACGAGGCTGCGATGAACGCGACCACAGGCTATGTCATGGGCAAGTTCCGCAAACACTCAGACAACTGTATATCCCCCACGATTCATCCAGCGAGCATGTATGCTTTGTTTGTGCCTCCGTTGAATCGCTATCGATCGGAACACGGGTATAGTGTGCATTCGAGTGAAGCGACACAGATTAGCAAACACGAGCTCACTAAAAAAGAGTATCAGTCAAACATGCGATGCAAGAAACACAAACCGCATCGTAACGGGAGGAGGGCACCTCGGATATGCGAGTTTGAGAACATATGCGTGAGAGACGGACGGCTATTCACTTTGAACACGGTATGGGTGTGCTAATTCTGTAGTCTATGCCAGCTATATAGGTATATATGGTGCCTGATTTCTGTCTATCTTCTGTGGATGACAGCTCATAGTGCAAGTCTGCGCAATCTCATGCGTGAAAGTATACAAAAAGCAGGATACATTAGCGAGCTATCACTAAAATCATCAACATCATACGTTGAATTGGCCTATCCATACCCACATACTGTCGTCACCAGCCTCAGCATGTGCTTCTTACCATCACCCTCGTGTATTGATCTGGTCCAACCTATAATGCATATCGTTTCCGGTACAGATTGACTCCACAAGGCTTACCATGTACTCATTACCAACACATGAGTGCGTGTCTCCCATACTCGTTCCTGGAAGTCGGCAGCAAGCCCTGTCGCTCATTGTTGGCGATGTGACTGTCGTTGACACTCCTACGATCCTCTTCTCAATGCGAGGTATTGTACGCTCAAAGTCTCTATATCCTCACGGCTTAGCTATATCGGCATGTCAGTAGCTGGTCGTATTATCATCTGCGTTGACCCAAATAAATGCATTCGTTCTTAAGTTTCTAGTGATCGAACAGTTCAGAGGCCATATGTGTATCGGGAAGTGCCAATCGCGAGCAGCGGATTTGTTATCCATTCAAAGCAAGTCAGACGATATCACCTTTTGCCTGAGTGAGTATTTTTTTAAACCTCAACTCACAGGGAAGTATAGCCATATGAATCTGCTGCTGACTTCCCTGGGCGTCTTCGATGCTGTACATTCTGAATTCGGGGAAGACTATGCAGTGGGGAACTCAACCATGACTAAGCCATACTCGGCTGTTATGATTCAGAATGCACTCTACAGAGGCTCTCAGAGAGATCTGTGGGCCAAGGTGATGCCATGGTTCAAGAAGGTTCACAGTTCACAACGACCTCTGATGTTTTTGCACGAGTTTGGGGGCACCACTTGCTTCCGGAAGGCTATTCTGGGCTCAGGTGGTGCTTATCAACCACTGTATCGATCGGCTGGGAGTACGGACAAGGAAGTACTTGCGCGGAAGTATCCGAAGTTGCACCAACGCATGGCAACCATTGTACCGAAGTTTGCGGCGTATGTAGCAGACAAGCATGGAAGCACGGGGGTCAAGCGACATACCGCCCTGCTGCACCGAAATAAGCTTTCAAGGAGGATTCTAAATGAGGCGGAGGTGAGTAGGGATCCGACGGTGTGTGGTACTTTCAGCGCACCTAGTTATTGCGAGATTCGTTGCTCTACTTCAACTGATGTGCATTCCTATTCCACGTACTGTCTGACAGGTAAGCGCCACAATGGCTCAATTGGGTTACCACGTGTCAATTGTAGACTTTAACACGATTCCGCTGTCGGATCAGGTCAGATTAGTAAGGTACCCGCATGACGCATGCAACTTGCGATTTAGCACCTGTTTTGATGCAGTGAGTATATATCTGATCCTAGTTCGGCTCAAATATTTTATGTCTGTACAGATGGTAAAGTATGATATCACGTACAGTCATAAGACTGAACTGTTCCTGCAGTGACTACGAACGAATCAAGCTGCACATTTTCGAGTAAGTGTCGTTTGGCGTTACTGGTATTACATATTT